ATGGTTGTTAAGTGCCATCCTCCCCCATGATGCTAGTGTCCAAGTTCTTATGGGTGTTAAGCACCATCCTCCCCCATGTTGTTAGTGTCCAAGTTCTTATGGCTGTTAAGCACCATCCTTCCATATGTTGTTAGTGTCCAAGTTCTTATGGCTGTTAAGCCCCATCCTCCCCTATGTTGTTAGTGTCTAAGTTCTTATGGGTGTTATGCATCATCTTCCCCCATGTTTTTAGTGTCCAAGTTCTTATGGCTGTTAAGCACCATCCTCCCCCATGTTGCTAGTGTCCAGATTGTTATGGCTGTTGAGCACCATCTTCCTCCATGTTGCTAGTGTCCAAATTCTTTAAACACAACTCACAATGCACTGTATGTTTGCCTAGGCCTCTCTCTAGTCATAAGTTATATCATGCATTGGAGAGTTAATCCGTGATGAAAACCACAAGCCCATAGTGGTCTATTTATGACTGTCATGCTTAATTGAACACTGAAGTTTGAACCTAACACTTAAAGTTTCAGCTATATTGAATTACGTATGTGGTTATCAACATTAATACTAACATACAGTGTTTCGTTCATAATGATTCATTAATTTTGAACGACTTATTATGGTGCATTATGGGAATAGAGTTAGAGTGAATTGATTCTTTTGATTCACCTGATCATAAAACTAGGTGACAAAAGAAGTAAAAACCAGCCTAATAACATAAGCTCATGGAATGATTCAGAAACTCCTGAATCCAATATGATAATAAACGTGAATTTCCAACACAAATTTACACACAAAATCCACATAATAATAATCATTATATTATTACTCCTATTACCATACTACAACAAGTATACACGACTTCTTTATTATTAATTTTAATTTTTTTTTATTAATTTTAAATAGATACAGCTGATAGATTTTTTGTTAGGTTGTTAAAATGATAATTATGTTATATAGTTCCTATTCTGCCATTTTTACTCAAATGTAATATATTTTCAAGCTTTATTTTATGCTTAAGAAGCAAGACAACCAACTTTAGATTGTGTATCTGGTCATTTTCCATTCAAATAACTTTTTATAACCAAATACTTCAGTCTAAATAGTTTAGTTTTGTTTCTAAGAATCAAACAAACCAATTGTTCAAATCAACTTATAAACTGAATGTAGTGAATCAAGTAAGTAAAGTGGATGAAACTGTCCATCACCAATAGCATCATTTTGCACAGTTACATAAACACAGACAGTTTACACAAGTGCACACATTTGCATATAATGTCACACTTGTACACTTTTATACCATATCTAGAACACAAATGACATAAATTTTCAGCTTCAAAATGTTCACATTTGTATTAAAATATATTGCATATTCTTTAACAATCTGAACAGTTTATAAATGTACATAAACCAAATTAAAATATTTTCATTAAAAATAATTTAGAATATGCCTTTCCTTCAAGAATCAAATTCTCTTTGACAGATGGATCTTACTTTTGGAGGTTTGAAGGGATACTCTGGGGAGAAGTGGATATCTAGAAAGAAAACTCCCCCTTCGTAGACAGAACCCGGTGGACCCAGAATGGTGGACACCCATTCGTACAAGCTATCTCCCTTAGGACCAGCACTGAAAGAAAGTAACGAGTACCTACAAATTTAGGTAGAGAATAAACTATAATGAAATAAAAAATAAATACTTCGTTATTCATTTCACCGACAAGCAACTTTTCATAATCCCTGCTCTGGTAAAACCTAATGAGCTAAAACAAACATAAATTCACAACCATATCCACCATCACCTCATGTAAATACCACCATTTTCTCATGTGTGTAAAGTCAACATTCCAAGACAGAAGAACTGAGTCAGTGTCAGTGGGGAAAACCATACAGAAAAGAGCCCAGGACTATAGTTTACTGGGCAGGCAGAAATATCACTTGACTCACAAAAGTAAAATTTACATGTTTATCTCAAGAAATTTATTGGTTATTTTAAGTCCATAGCTCAGCATAAACCTTAGGAAATCTGTTACTGGATTGTTGTATACTTTTTTTTTAAACTCTATAGCTAAACACAAACCTCAGGATATATATTAATGGATTTTGTATGCTTCTTTTAGTCACTATAGCTAAACACAAACCTCAGGATATATATTAATGGATTGTTGTATGTTTGTTTTAACTCTATAGCTAAACACAAACCTCAGGATATATATTAATGGATTGTTGTATGCTTCTTTTAACTCTATAGCTAAACACAAACCTCAGGATATATATTAATGGATTGTTGTATGCTTCTTTTAATTCTATAGCTAAACACAAATATCAGGATCTATGTTACTGATTTTAGATTGGTTTCAGTAGTTTTTCTACACCACAGGTTTTAAGAAACATTAAATGTGTCACCAACTAACATAGAATCAAAACAATTACTTCATAAAAAGTAGTGCTTCTAGAATGCGACTCAGAGAGTTACTGTTGCATAAGCTGAAAAACAGCATGATTTTAGTCACATCATATCAACATTAAAACAAGAGGTAATTCAACTATGTTAACACACAAACACACTATCAAATTTTTTATATAATTTGTATTAATGGATAAAGTAGTATTCCAAAGGATTATTTTGAAGAGACTACTTGAGAAGTTGGCTATTTCAGCAGAGTTACACAGAAATTATCTTTTTATCAACTTGCAAGGATCTTTAACTTTTTACATGTCCGTAAATTTTTTTTTTACATTCTTTCATCTGATTTTTATTGCACTTTGCTATGCATGCATACAACCACCAAACTACAGTATAAAACACATACTTTTTAAAGTTAACAATTTTTTACACTCAAAATGTATTTCGAAGAATTACTTACCATCTGTCACCCAAAGCATCTTGACCTTGGTTTGCCCTCTAAGCATTGCTAAGACTTTATCACTAACAGCACACCAGCCTTTTATACCCTTTTATTTTCATGCCATTTCAGAACATGTGCTGATCATGTGACTACCCTGCACCAATCAAACTGTGCTATTTTTACTAGCACAGGTACATTCTAGCACAATCCTCATATTTGAGAATTGGCAGGTACAAACTAGAAACACCAGCATATCAGTGGGGAGGACAGGTGGGAAGTGTGTGAAAGGAGGTAAGTATCTATCAGAATACATTTTAAATGTAAGAAAATGTTAACTTCTAGAATGGTACTACCTCCTCTCACCCAAAGCTACAATCCCATACTGCAAAGGTGGAGGAGCCAGTGAAGGCACAACAGTATTCAAACAAGCAGAGAGCAACCGCCTTGAAAGAACAGTTGTGCCACAATACAAAAAAGAAGGCACACCAATGGGATATAGCACTACTTGTGGAACAGGTACGCTCTTCGCCCAGTAACGAACACAGTAATACATATAAGGTGGAATGTAATAGGCAGGCACCATGTCAGGTAATACAGAATCAGTCAGTGCATAAATTGTCCATATATGTAGCAAGTGTTAGCATGGAAATAGTGATAGTTATTCATAGTAAGGTGCCTGATAATTAGATATAATTATATGTGGCTAGGGCTAAAGGACTGTAAATTGTATATGAATAGGCCAAATGCTGTCTGCCTGGGCAAAAAACATCCAGGGGAAGCATCTTGGGATATGTCGGATCATGCCAATTGCGGTCCACAGGGCAAAAATAACAGTGGAAGCACTTTGTGTAAGTTTGGAAGATCAACAAGTGCAGTCCACCTGGGCAAAAAACATCCAGGGGAAATGCCTTGGGTAAGATACATAGGTCAAAAGGTGCGGCCCACCAGGGCAAAACACAGGGGGAAGGGCCTTGGATACAAAGGATTAGGCCAAATGCAGTCTGCCTGGGCAAAAACATCCTTTGGGGTACTAATGAGTATTCAAGTGCAGTCTATCCAGGCAGACAACATCCAGTAGAAGTGTCTTGCATAAGAAATTTATTTTGTGATCAACAAATGCAGTCAGCCAGGGCACAAACATCCAGGAAAGTGCCTTGGATCAAGAATATTTTGTTATTGCATAACCAATAAGTATACCGATGATAGCCCTTTTCTCACTGAGTGGGTACAAATGAGCTATGAAATTTGATTTAAATGACTGTACACACCCAACTCAGGAGGAAACCTCCATGGCCGACCACTGGGAAGCGAAAGTGGCAAGGACTATGGTGCTTCCACTAGAAGAAGGGGGGGGGGATATACATTGGGGTATCTACAATTCCCTATTTTGAAAAGCAGAAAGACCCCCAATTTTAA